GGGAACTCCATACTACAAAACATACTCGGCACCTGTATGACACAATGCATGAACGTTTGTAAGGCTTGCATTTAAAATTCTGGAGCTTACACCGGCTTTAATATAATAGCCTTTTACATTTGAATTGCATTTTTTTGATCTTAAATTAACCCGTGATCTTTAAAATTTAATCAATTAAACATGTTAGATAAATGCATGCTTCGAATTTCATTACTCTACAGTAATTTTTTCTAAGCGTTGGGATTTTTTTTTCCGTCAGTGTATTTTCCTAATTCAAGACCTTTTCTTTTTTCTTTCTTGTTTTGAAAAAAAAAATTTTTTTTTCTACTTTCATTTAAACCTTTAGAAATAAATGTACAGTTTAATTTGCTTCCTATTGTTCCATTTTATAATGCTAATAGCTAGTTAACAAATGTCCATTATTCACGAACCATATCCCTATTTTATCGAGACGTTATTGTTACCATGTCAATATAACATATATGGGTATCTAGTATATGATATATACATATATAAATACAGATCTACATATACTGAAAACAGGAATATTGACGCAGGAGTTTAATGTAATATGGTAGAAGGTGATTGTACAGCACAATAGACCTCTACCAGTGATCCAATTTACCATTACGTGAATTATGGAAGGATTACATCGCCTTCATTAAATATTTTATTCAGTTTTAACTCATTCTAATATTTAAAATATTAATATTGCTTCAGAATTTATTATTTGTAGTAAAATTTGTTGCAACGTAATTTATTGAAAATTTCTAGAATTTTTAAAATACATTTCTCGAAGGTCTAATATGTATATAATTTCTACTTTATTTAAAAAAATTTAAAAATATCTTTATAAAATTTTAAAAAAAAAATATTTATATTTTTTATTCCATTTTCGGTAAAGAGAAATATTCGAAATATTTTCGTTAATATCATTAGCTGTTCCCCTAAACTCAAAAGACCACTCGGGGACACCGTTTTGAGTCGATTGAAGAGATTCAACGTGAATCGCTGCGTGCTTTGAAGGTTATCCCGGCCTATCACTTTTAGCATTCAATGAGGATTGGAAAAAAAGTTGGCATAAGTGCATTGTGTCCGGAAGGGATTACTTTGAAGACGATGAAATAAATTTGGAAGAATAAATAAAGAGTTTGGGAAAAAAAAATAAAATTGGTCATACTTTTTGGGCATAGTAGTACAGTATTATAAGAAAATTTGAAATTCCTTGTGTGTTTTTGTTTCATTAAAATGTGAAACATTTTTTTAAAAATAATAAATAAATCATTTTTAATGTATTATTATGCTAGATTTTAATTTTCATTGAAGTTCGATGGATAAAAAGGGTTTTTTTCTTTTTTTTTTCGATTCTAAGAAAATAGAATCTAAAATAGATCCTAAAATAGAACTTCAAATACATATTTCCTTGGTATTTACAAATTATTTTGTTTTATAAGTAGCGATTTGCTTAAAATAAAATAAATCAACAAGATAAATAATTAGATATATTAATAAACTATAAATTTTATTACCTAGAATTTAGCAATGAAGATATTTTCATTTAATATTGTAGCATAATATCTAAAAAGTTTGAAATAAAATTTTCCGATTAGTGAAATTCACCAACGTTTTTAAAGTAAATTAATACGTTACAAAATTTTCAAATTCAATTTTAATATATTTGTAAATCCCAAAAAGAGAATTATTTATTTAGTGAACCCTTAACAATAAATACTGGCAACTAAACAGCTAGTATGGACCGATTTAGAAAGAGTGGAGTCATAGGGAAGAAAATTCGTTTTCTGGGTAATTTTAATTGCGATAAAAATGATTTTAATTTTTAACAATTAAAATTTTAAATTACACAACTTTAAAAGAAAATAACAAAGAAAATATTCCACGCTACTAACATACTGTTATCTTCCAAAGCACCAATTCCAGGCTATCCATGATTAATGATTTTATATATATATACATATGTTAAGTATGTATAGTTATATATAATCAGTATACTGTTTTTTGCCTATAGTTATGAATATATAAAAACGGATGCTTTTCATTTTAATTTAAATTAATAATTGCCTTTCAACAGAATTTTAAAAATAAATAATTTTATTTTTCAAAAGTTGTAACATAAAATACGGTTTCTTATTTAATTTCAGTTCATATAATTAAAATATCACTTGCCATTAGATGAAAAAAATACTGTTAGAATATAATATGATTTAGAATTAATATTCACCAAAATGAGAACCTTAATGAATTCAATTTAATTGGAAATCGTTTGCAAGGAAAATAATTTATTTTTTACAAATTTAAACATTCTTTCAGATGATATATATTTGAGAATATTTTATACCTCCTATATGAAACAAATATCCTTGAGCTCTGAGGATATCATTTCTTAAATTATTTTCTAAATATGCAATATAGAAAGTATAATAAATGTATTAATAATATGTAATCTCCCGGTGCAGGGATTTATCATTAATCCTACCAGAAAGGCAGGAATATTCGATGTTTTCAGATATGTTAGGATTCCGTAAATCTGTCGCTCAATCAAAAGTTTACCGCTCTAACTAACAAGTACCTTTACAATGATAGCATTCAAGGATAATATAACATAAAATTTTGCATTTCACAAAAAAATGTTTATTTTATCGGCTTTTTAATGTTAAATATATTGAATTACATATATCTGATATTAAATTAAAAATATCCTTTCTTTATAAATCAAAAGTGTTTTTTATTTTAATGATTATTTTCCGATATGGCCTAGATTTAATTCATCAAAATAATAATAATAATAAATTTTTAACTCATTCTGAAAAGAAATTATTTCAAAATTACAAAATTCGAATTTACAGAAGTTTCAAAAAAGCAAAACTTACTTTTTTTATTGCCTATTTTAACTTGATTTGTTATTATTTCAACTGGTTGGGCCACCATTCTAAGGAAAAGTAGCATTTAAACATTAAATAAATAAATTTTTAGATTGAAACTAAAAAAAAAAAAAAAAAAAAAAAGAAATTGTATTAAATTACTTAATGAAAACTTCAAAAGTCTTAAAAATAAATTATATATTTCTAACCATCTATATGCAGTAGTAAGAATTTCTTAAATGAATAAAAATTAAAATAACTGCATCGTTGTTGTAAAATCAAAAGTCAATTTATAAATTACTCTAATACTCTAATGAAATGTTTGTTAGATATTTAAGAGAAAAATAATTAAAAAAAAATAGTGATTCATCATTAAAGTAATCAATTACGAAAAAGTGAAGCACTTATGAATTATTTTTAAATAATAACTTCTTAAAATGTCAACAATTAATAATTAAATAAAATTTAAAATATTACTTAGTTATTTATTTTTTTAATTTTAATTCGTTTTAATTGTTTTTGTTAGTGAAACTTAATACTTTATTAATTCCACTTAAAACAATTAACAAAATTAAATTATTTTTAATCGAAAATTGAAATTAATTATTAAAAGAAAAAATGCTAAAAATTAATCTTTTATTGAATTCATTTCTTAAAAATTGTTTTTTGCCAAAATTCTTATAAATTTTTATTTAAAACCGGTTATTATTAATCCACAATCATAAAAATCTTTACGCTTTCATCAATTCGCAATAAACAAAAATGATAACTCCGCCTTTTTCACTCTCGAAACAATCTTATTGGTCACAGTACATGAATTTACGTAACCAATAATGAATAGAGCTGCTATAATTTAAAGCTTATTAGTTAATTTGGTGAAGAAAAACAACAAATAGCAATCTTCATTGTTCATTGTTTGATGACGTTGACAAAGAAATTTCAAGGTAAAAGTAAAGTAAATTTTCAACACTAATGCTTTTTTTATTTTTCTGACTTTGTGAAGTATTTATTTTTCAACAAATAATAAAACTTTTTTAACTAAATAAACAATTTTAAAAGAAACATTTCTTAATGGCCCTTTATTTTTCTTTAAAGAATTTTATAACTTTGCAAAATAAACAATAGAAGTATTTTTGTAAAAAATATTTTACGTTTGCGTTGTGATTTAAAAACCCCATTCATAAATAACATTTAAATTTCTATACATTTCAAGTAACACTAAATTTACAAGATAAGGCAATTAACTACATGTCGGAATTTTGAATAAACATTATAAGTGAAATGCAATTGTCATGTTTATATTTATTTCACAACATGCTTTACACTTTTTAAGTCACGATAAAGGATAAAAAAATGCAGCTTATTTTTATACTTGACCTTGCGGCGCAAAGACATGGGGCACCCAAAGGAAGAAGTCCAACTTTATTCCACTCGGATATAACCACGGGCAATGGGTACCCATTTTAGTCGCCTTTCACGACAGGCATGGGCTGCAGTGGGGCCATTCTAACCCGGACTGATAGGGGTATGGTGCTATTTCGGATAGAGGAGTTTTCATCAAGAAGGGGGAAGTGGCATTACGATTTGTAAGAAGAATCTTAACTACGGCTCAGATTTTTGGGCTGAACTCAAAACTATTGAGGAGGCTCTGAATTATTGTGTCAACGAAGGTGTCAATATAGTCGAAGAATTTTCGAATGTCAAAAGTCGAACGTCAAATTGGATTCTGAGAGATATCGAAGCTCTATTCAGCACCTGGTAGAAACATGATGATGAAGTTGCAGTGAATATTGTCCAGTTTTTACGTTGCTTGAGTGGCTATCATAATAATGTATTGTTGTTTCTTATCCCACTTGGCAGACATCTAAGGCCAAGCCCATCAGCCCATACGTACTCATGATTGAAGGGGAAGGAAGCAGCTTCTGTTGTGATGGAGCACCCATAGGTAGAAGTCTGACTTTGGCTCCGTGACGCTCTTACAGTCAGAGGAGACCGGGACCTACGCCTTAAAGTGGATTCCGAACCACTACAAACATCCATGGCACCGCCGGGGCTCGAACCCGAATCATGTGGCATCGAGCGCCAGAGCCTCGGCTGATTCAGACCTCAAATTTTGAAGGCCAACGGCACGCGGTGTTCTTAGGTGGTCACCCTCCCAAGTACTGACCGCGCCCAATGATGCTTGACTTCGGTGATGGAACAAGAACCGGTATATTCAGCATGATATGGCCGTTGTCATAGTAATATACGTTTTTAGGGGGTTCCATCACATGTAGATCTTTACGCAACGAGATTGCAGATCAGCAAGCTAAGGAGGGTAGAGTTAAGATTGCTACTGACGGTGACTGTCTCTCTTTCTCGGAACTTGCTTATTAGGTCAAATTAGACACCAACTCCTCTTGGAGAAAAGCCTCCGCCCATGAGAGGTTGGATTGCAAACCGTCCTGGCGCTGCTTCAATTGGGGAGGGCACTAGATACGAACAGACGGCCCTTGATAGGCTCCGCAGTGGTCATCACCATGCTCAACATCACGTGTCAGGCTTTGAAGTTTATCTCCTTTGCAAGAAATGCAGCTTGACTCAAGCACTCCTGCACATATCTTTACATGCATTGGTTATCAGAAGAGCCAATTGTACACAAGTCTAGGAGCGGTTTTTATTGTTTGAGAACACAACGGGTTCATCTAGATGTTCTGTCGATCAAGTGGGATAAGAAATAACAACAACACAGTTTTTAAAAAGTTGATAAATATTCCTAAAATAGCTACATATGCATGATGAAAGGTATAAGAAAAATTTACTTATGCTTCGTAGCATTATTTTCAGGACATAATAAATATGATTGACTTCTGTACTAATTTCCCTGGGCTGTGCAATATACTTTATTCAATGAAAATATGATTTTTTAAAATTATTTAGTATTTAATTAAAAGAACTTAAATAATTATTTAAAATAATTTTATTTTCAGTTTTATGTGATAAAGTCGATAAAAGATTTATAAAAATAAATTTAATTAATGAAAACAAATAACAGAGCATCTTTGCAGAAAATACATAATATTCTGATAAAAATTATTGCAAAAAAATTGAAAAGTTAATGACGAAAATTTCTTTAGTAGCTTTGATTTTCAAAGATTGAATTTTATATTTATATATGACTTTTGTTTTTATTACATTTGTGTATAAAATGATATTGATTAACATTTAATCAATATAATTTAATTAATTAATAGAAATAGATTTGTAGAAAAAAATTCTTTATTAAATGTTTTTTCACTCTAATTTTCATTTCATTTTCTTTAGTTAATTATATTCAATTTAACAATACTTTAATTAAAATATCACAATTTTGTTAAGAAATTAATATTTTTAAACAAAACAGATATTTTTTTAAAAATGTTATTCATGTTATTTTTTTACACATTTTTGAAACTCTTAAAATATTACCATTTATAAAATAAAAAAAATTTGTAAATTGAATTAATTATTACTGATGAAAAATGACACTTATTTCAAATTATATTCAAAAACATTATTTTAATTCAGTCAGTTTCCGTAAAAGTTTTAATTTACTGATTCAATTGCAACCGAAGCTAAATCAAATTACTTTGTTTCGAAAAACAAAAAAAAAAAAAAAACTGTATTCTCCACTAACAAAAAACAAATTCCAGACGAAACTAGATCGAATAAAAGAATCGTTGTGCTTGAGAGTCTGTTAAATATATCTTCTGTAACTCAGTAAAACAGTAAATAATACCATAAGTACCACCTTTCACTGCTATAAAAAACACATTCATCTGAAAGATAACTAATTACTGCAACTAATTAATTTGAGTGCCTAGGGTTTATTGCTTTGATAGTTTGTCTAATAGAATAATCTGTCCATTCATACCATATGTTTGAGACAACAACAAAATGTCTTAAACGCTGCAACAGAAATTTTTTTTCAAAACAAGATTAAAACCATTTTTTGCAGCTTCTTTGAGAAAGCAATTTCTTAATTTATATTCTTATGATACTTCACATCCCTTTAATTTCTCCAGTGTCGCTCATAAGCCACTGGGGGAATTTATTCCATAGCATAATTGAGTAGAACTTCTAAAACTCGAAAGAATCTTTAAGAGTTTTTTTTTTTTTTTTTTTCTTCTATTTTCATTTTCACTTTATTATTATTTTTTTAATGAAACAAAGAAAATTCAAGACGTGGACGTATTTACCCTTGAGACATCAAGATAAAATATCATTTAATTTTGTTATCAAGTTTGCGTTAGGATTCGAAGCTCTACTCGGTAATTTAATTTTCTTTGGATTTTTAAAGCAAAGTTAGCTTTTAAGGACTTTTCTTTGTAAATATTTTCATCATGAATTCTTTTATCGTTGACGCAGACTCCTGGAATAAGTTTTGACGTATTAAAGAAAATTAAATATATGGCTTCTCGGAATTTTTAGTTACGTTGTTTATTTAATGTGCCTGATGTTGACAATTTTTGTTAAATTGAAATGGGCAAGGTGAATATTTACAAATATGAACAATCTCTTTTTAAATTCATTTTGAGATGCCCTTTTGAAGTTTAAACATGTTTGGATTTTATTAATTATACATACTCAAGTGATTTTAGGCTTGAAATTGAATTAAAGAGTTTGTGTAGTTTTCATTTCTAATAAATGAAATAAATTACATGTTTAATACATGTCATTTAAATATTTTATTAAACGACTTACTTTACGACTTTATTTACTTTATTAAACTGCAAGATGTGTGACATAGTTAATAGGCGTCACAACATCAACATTTTAATAATTAATAGATAACCTCGTTTTATAGCATTGATGTGAAGACTTTCTGTTTATAAAAAGTGATACTTATAATGAAGTACACTACAGAAAAAAAAAAAACATTAATTTCTATATAATAATTTTAGCAAATTCTTGTGTATATACGGAAAAAATTAATTTACCATAGAGATAAGAAACGCAATTCAAGATATGAAACATATAAGAGAACGTTTCAGAATTTATAAATTAAAAATATCACTTGCATACATATAACGCATTAAAATTACATCAGCATTTGATTAATTATATTACAAATTGAAACATTTAATTAAACATTTGTTTTATTTATTTATAATGCATAGTGTTAATTTACATAATTTTCCTAAATTAAAATGGGATTTTCTTAATTAGAGAACATTTCCAATTTATTTGTTTTTAGATGCACTAATTGCGTTATAAATTAATTAAAAGTATTATACATATTTTAATAAAATACACCATCGTGAAAGGTACCGTACAATGCATTGTATAATAATGTACAATATAATTTATATCCATATTGACGATTTAAACCTCTTATTTATTATTGCTAATAAATGTGCATAATGTACTAATGAGAAATTCATCACTAACACAGAGATAGTAGCTTTCCCTATTTTTTCTCGTATCACATGATAGAATTAGAATGTTAACTCATTTTAAAAAGCTTTTTCTAAGCTGATACCTTATATAATTATTGATTGAAATTTAATACATAATTTACTATTTTTTAACGTATTATTGCATTTTTCTTAATAAAAAATACAAATTTTTTTAAATGTTATAAATTTCAAAAATTTAATAATTATTTTCTGGATTAAAGTAAGATATTACAGACATGTGTATTAAATATTATATGAGTATTAATGAAATATTTTACCAATTGAATGATGGCAATGTATTATTATATACTGCCCTACTCATGACGAAGTGATAATATGTAAGAATTAGTGTGCAAGAATTAGTGATAGCGAAAGAATTAATTCCCAATGTTAATACATCCTGCAGTGAAAACTGAAAAATAAATTATATATTTAGTGGAGTGTGTTACAAAAACTTCACCTAGTGACAGTCAGATTCCCTTATCAGAATTATATTATTTTTCTGTAATTGTAAAGATAATGTTCAAATAATAATAATAATAATAAATAAATAAATTGTAAAGATAAGTAAAATAATTTTTTAAAAATTATAAATTGCAAAGATAAGTAAACTAAATTTCAAAATAATGTTCACTGAGTAAGAACATTATATTTACACAATAGCAATAACAGTGTATTTTAAATTTAACTGTTTCCTAAGTTAGCGATGACGAAGAGTAAGATAAAGCTGCCAAATTAAGTATTTGGAATATTTATTGCCATTTATTATCCTTTTTAATGTATTTTTGCTACCTACTACTTTAAAAAATATAGTTTAAATATTATTTTTTATGCTTCTTTAAAAAACTGATATTAAAACTATTAAATGGAACATATATTACAATTATTTAAAAATGTTTTCAAAAGGAACTCCTCTAAAATAACATAATTGTAGTTAAATATTATTTGCAAAAACTAAATGATTTATATGTTTAAAAGCAACTTGCATCAAAATACAGATTACTTCTCATTTTTATAATAATCTGCAATAATTTTCTGCAATAAGTTAAGCAACAAATAAACAGCTTCCGCAAATTCAGTGAAACGCAGTTTTGCAAATAAGTATTTCCTCATTCCCGGCTATCCATCACCCCCTGCCACAACAGAGTACCAGACGATAGTTTGCGGAGAGAAATAACCCGCTTAAAATTGACATAGTGCATAGCCTGACATAATCCTTGACAATATTTATCGCTCTTCTACTTGTCTGGGCCGTGAACAGCTATGCACACAATACTTTTCCGTAGAAAGCATATTATTATCCTTAATCCGCTATCCATCAGTGTCGATTTTTCTTCCGGTTTTCAGAAAAGAAAATGCTTCACTTGTGGAGAATATAAAAATGAGGCTATTCAATAACAGCTTGTGTAATTAATATACATAAAAATGTAAAGTATTCTTTTTTAACATTCATCAATTCAGTGATCTTGCATAAAATGCAAAGAATAATTTTTAACTGTTTATATCTTAGTGTACTTTATGGTTATCATATTTTGTAATAAGAAATTTAAAATCAAAAAGTTATTAGTAAATATTAATTGTCAATATCAAAAAGAGAGTTGGGACAACTTTATTTACTTTCAAATTTTATGTTACATAAAAATAAAAAGAATAAATTTTATAAATTTTAACAAATCAATAACTTGTAAATTACAGTTTTATACAAAAATTCTACTATTGTTATGCATTTATAATAATATTAAATAATCTCATTTAAGTATAAAAAAAATATCGAGGCGAAAAAGAATATCGTAATAAAAGCAAAATATATATTCAG